AAAAAAGTAGCATTCCTTTTTACTTTTTGTTTTAGATAATTACAAAACATTTTGTTTATAGTGTACAACAAAAGAAACTTTAGCTCAAAAGCAATCTTTCTGTAAATCTATGACCAAAATTCCAATTAAAGAGATTTAGACTGTTTACTGCTGCTAAAACAGCCTTTGAACAAAGACGTATAGATCAAATACAACAAAGCTTACAGTTTCTCAGTACTTGTGGTAATTTTGTTTTTAGCATATCCAAAGCAACAAGATTGATGATCATGAACCAACAGGGTGTCTTCATTGGATCTGAACTACAATCTTTGACTAACGATACTCGAACGCATGTTTTCATCAGTAGCTCTCTGGCATCTGGATCCGGTTGCACCAATTCCCGTGATATTGCAGATTTGAATCTACGCATATCGAAGATCTAAATTAAGATGAAGCGAAATTTTCAGTTAAAAAATCAAGCTATTGTAGAGAAAAAAAGAATTCATTGATTTATTTTTTTTTTCGGACTTCAGTCAAATCTAAAAGGCCAAAAACAAACTTTTGCAATCCGTTCTTCGTCGTTATTCTGATGGTCGCCCTTAGTTTTCAGTTTCCCCTGTTCACGCAGTAATCGTTCAGATATGCAGTTTGAGTTCGGCTCTTTCCATCCTTGGACAATCACTGGAGTTGAACCCCTTGCCATAGCTTTTATATTACCTTGGTTGTCCATTTTAATAATAACACCCTAAATTTTGCTCACCTTAAGTTCAGCCACAATCAGTTATTGCCTTTCAGATATGTTTAAAACAGAAATTTGTCAAAAGAGCAAAAGTATTAAAAGTTCTGATTTTTTAGACGAGTCAATCACCTGCTCTTGAACAATAAATTCTGGAATACAGTAAGAAGATAAGTTATAGAACTTACATCACCAATTTTAGATCTAAATTCTTCTGTATATTCGTCACGTTGTGGATTTGAAAAATGATTAAATCCAAGTGTTTTGCCATCAAATTCATCTTCCCCACCATCAACAATAATTGTTGTTTTTCTGCAAATAAATAACATTAAATGTTAATCAGTACAATTTCGTTTATGAAATAACTGTTTGGTTGTATTAAGAAAAAAAAAACAGTATTCTATTTGACGTTAACAAAAAAAAATATTCTTTTTTGAATACCTTAAATAGGCTTTGGCAATTCGTTTGCCACGTTCCATAATAATAATTTTGCCCCATATTTCGTCGTCAATAGCTCCTTGTTCCAATTTTTCCAATACTTCATTAATATGGTCCTAAAAACGAATTTTTACACTTGTATTTCGAAAAAAATGTATTTTCAAGTAAAAAACAACTTGAAGAAACTAATCTAGCAGGGAACAATTGAGCTAAAACTATAGTTTAGTTTTGATCGCTACAAGCTAAAAGTAATTTCAGAGGAGAGATGTCCAAAATCAGTTTGTAGACTGTATTTGATGGCTAAGCTAAAATTGCTACCTTTTAAACTATTTTTGAAGTTTTTATTATTTGTTTTAAAAATGTTTACTATTATTAGTAATCATTAATGGAGCTAATTTTGATCTTTGTTCTCATATAATGCTGTATAACATCTGCGACTATTTATAGTATTTTTTATTACATATACTTCTTCTATAAAACCTTCGTATCCGAGCAAATAAAAAAATAATAAAAATTTTTTCTGCCTGATATCCACCTGTGGTGAAACTGCTGAGAACCCTTTGAAAAAAGAATTTATCATTAATATCTGCTCAGTGAGATATTCAAATTGAACAACAGTACTTTAATTCCTTTACTCTTTTCTTCTCCTTCTTTCAGTACTTTTTTCTTACATCATTTCACCAGTTCTTTTACGCTGACTAATTTAATAATTTTTAGATTGCACTTGGTTGGCAGTATACTAATAAGAGAGGTTAAAAAAAAATAAAAAGATAAGAAGTAATTAGTAAGCAGCAGTTTTCCTCAATTTTATAGATGGTTTTGCAGGTTTTTTGTCGACCAAATAATTGCTTAAAAAGGTACCAAAAATAAGTCGGCAAATTACGCCATCCATTTCAGTAGAAAATTTTGGCTCATTTGTGTCGAAAAATTTTTCATTTAAGATGACTTTCACAGCAGTACAGAAATCAGAGAAAAAGTAGCAAAAAAAAATAAATAAATAAGTGGAACTAGTGGCATTCCAAATAAAATATAGTCAGTAAGTACGGGGAAAAGTGGTTTCTACAAATGTGACTACAGCACGACTTTTTATTTTTATATTTCAAAAACAATCAAAGAAGAAAAACAGATGTATCTCTTTTTGAAAAAGTCCTCTTTTTTTTGACATCAAATTTTAATTAGCTTTTTTTATTGTTTTTCTGAGAAAAAAAAATTGAGTACAGATATAATGGTACAAAAGTATTTTTGAACATGAAATTTAGTGTGTTTGTAAAAAGTGTGTTTCGTCTTTGACCACAAACAACAGTAATTGAACTTTTTCTTCTTCTTCTTCTGCAAAGATGCACTAAAAATCAGTTGACATTATTATGATTATTACATTCTTTTTTTTTTTTTAAACCCAAAATGTTCATTATAAACGATGATGTAAACTGTTCATCGGTAATGAAAGTCCATACATTCAGCAAGGAAAAGAAAAAAAAAAGAGCTGGCTAATTGACGGTTAACTGACTGGTTGGTTAACTTCTTACTGCAATAATCAACTGAAAATTGTTCATGAGTAAAAGTAAGAATGCAAATCTTGCTGTAGCTCAAATAACATAAAAGTAGGCAACAAAAAAAATAAAAAAAAAAAGCAAAAGTGGTGACAAAAAAAAAACTAAGAAGAAGTATAAAAAAAAAAAAAGATTGAATTGCGAAAAGAGAAGAAGGAGAAGGAGAAGAAAATTGAAAACTGGTCAAAGCAACGATAAACAAAAAAAAAAAAACAACTTTTCTGATTATTATTTTATCGCATTTAACAGATAATATATCTGGCAAAGAAAAGAACAACTTTTTTTTTTTATCATTATCATTTATGGTGCTAAATCAGAAATCAATTAAACAAGTGGTTAGCGTAGATCAAAGATCAGTTGTACAAATTAAACTGTATACAACTGTAGTGGTCAACCAAAATTTGTCAGTTTTTTTTTGATTGCTGTTTATTTACCATCTACTTTTTTTTTTTCTTTTTTGGTCGAGAAGGTGGAGGGAGTAGTTCGTTGATCTATAAATATGTTACCAGCATATTTGTTGTATACAGTTTTTGAATAAACAAGAAAAGAAAACGGTTTTTAACAAAGGCAAGAAATTAGTGCCCGAACACTGGTCAAATGGTAAAACAGTGAAAAAAATGTTAAAAAATACGTAAGTTTTTTTTTTTCATAAAATATTACTTAATTTATAGAATTATTAGCAAAAATTAGAGCCAGCAAAAAGTAATAACCTTTGTTATAAAACAGTACTGTTTCATCAGTACTAACTGACCGTATGACTAATCATCAAACAACTAATCATCAAACAGTCATCAATAATATTCTACAACTCTGTACCGCAATTCTATCTTCGACCAACAAAAGTGATATTAATTAGACTAGACTAATTAAAGTGTTGTTAGAATTGAATGTAATTTTGATTGTAAGATAACAACAACAACAACAACAAGAAAAAAAAAAAAAGTAGACTTTTCTTTTTATTTCAAAATTAAGCAGAAAAAAAATTCTTTCTTTGTTTTTTGTTCTTTTTTATTTTGCTTCTTCTTCTTTTCGTTGACCACTAACTAAAATCATCCATCCTTTAAGCCGTACTTTAAATTGACCCTAAATTTAGCAGTAAATATCAACAGTTAAACTATTGGCAATCAATAATTTGCAATCCTCAACAGAAGAGATAAAGAAACTAACTTTAACTACTTCAATTAATTAGTATATTCTTAGCAACAATTATTCTTTGTTTCGTCTCCGTTTTTTTTTCGCTATTTGAACATCTTAAATAATAAAAAGAAAAAAAATTATCAATAATCGTGCTTAGCAAATATAAATTTAGACTACAATTTTTCTTCTACTTGACAATGGCATCTGAATAAATATCATCAAAATAATTACGGTAGAATCAGTTCTTTTTCTTTTAAGCTTAGAATTCTTTTTAAGTCAATAAAAAGAGAAGCAATTGACCAGAGAAATAGCTGTGAAAAGATCAGATATTTGGCAATAAAAGAAAACAATAGAAAGAGATAATTTTAGCCTCCATATCACCAACATTGACCACTATTGTCAGTTTGTCGAATTGACAAAAATCTTTTCAAAAAAAAACCACACATCAACCTTTTTTTTTTTTTGAAGCAGAAAAACAATTTAAAGCCTTAGTGCCATACTAAACGTCCAAGCATAAAACAATAAATGCAACTGGTTTCCGAAGTTTAATTAGAGCTTAGGATTAAAATATAAATCCCAATTTTCACTGAAAAATAAACGATTAAACAAAAGTAACTGAAATTAATTCAACCAATAAGCGAAACTTTTTTGGCTTTTATCATTTGTTGGTCATTTCATAGCACAACTATAACAAAGTAAATCAAATGTTTTCCATTAAAGATGACCAAAATTAATTCTGTTTTACCGTTGTTACATTAAGCTTTCTATCGCTTCCGCACAGTTCAAGTTTTTATCATAGATAAAATCTAAAAAAAACCAAGAAAAAACTACACAAGAAAAACTGTTACCGAACATGCAAAAAAACTGCCATTTTTTTCTTGCCTTAACAATAACTAATTTAGAAGGTTTTATTACAGTGAAATGATATGTTCGTTAGGATGACAAAAAAATTACGGATAAAGATACCCCATCTACCCGATGCATCACTTCGTCCTCTCCTCATTCGTTGCCCAACCCTTCCAAGAGAGGAAAAAAATCGTGTATTTTTGAAGCAAAGAACACAAAAAATGAAAAATAATTTCTTCCACTCTTCGGCTATTTACAAAACTGTAAAAAAAAAAATTTTCCTTTCTTTTTTCTTTTTCAACGAATAATCGAAGTACCATCAACGTAAAGACTTACACCTATTAAAACTTTTGCCTTTTTTCCTCTCACCTGACATTAGTTTTGTGAAATTTTTTTCGCTGTTCTATCGACACATCTCCGCCACATTTCTTCATTTACCTTTCCCTCAAACCGCTGTATTGACCGATTGAAAAAAATTTGATTTTAATTTAAAAATGCAGAGTATTATAGAATGAAAACAAAAAGAAACAACAACGGTATAAACTGGTAACATATTTGCAATTTTATGTTTAGGTCTTGACAAACACTGTAAAACCGATAACAGTTTCCGACGCCGCTCAACCGATAAAAACCGGTATTTTTTTTTTTTTTTTTTGGAATGACAGTTCAAAAAAATTTCGAAAATTTTTATGCTATAGTTACAATAATCTTTTTTTGTATCTTCTTTTGCTTTAACTCAGAATGCAGACTAACACATTCAGCTTTCCTTCTCTTTGTTAGCTTAAGAAAATTGTTGGTAATAATAATAGCGGCAAGAAGTAAAATGTTACTACAATCAGTCTTTGCACATTTTTCTACTCAAAATTATATTCATCTACTCAAAAGCTCTCTTAAATTTCAAATAATATTTTCAATAGCATGCAAAACTTGGCATACTGCCAGCCTTTATAAGGAGCAGTCAGTAATTCAGTTCTGCCATCATTAATCAGACAATAATTATATTCGATGGAATTTTAAAAACCAAAAGAAATAAAAACAGAAGAATGAGTGAACAAAAAGCGTCTAAAAAAAAAGAGCGAAAGGAACGGTGCAAAGGTACACGGTTAATTGCTCTCGACAAAATAATCCTTTGTTCAAGAAATTTTTTAGCTTTCCAAAGAAAAAAAAAACAAAAATCCCTTTTTTTTGTCTTTAAAATCACCGCTGAAACTGTAAAATATACGAAGAAAAGTAAAAATAAGTATAACTGTAGTATCCCCGTAGTAACCTCAAAACTTTTTGAATGAATAATAGAACTGAAAATTAGTGGGGAAAGAGAACAAAGAACTAAGCCTACAGATTATCCAAAAATTCATACATCCTATTCATAAATCAGTTTTGTTTATAACTGTAGGCTAATATTTGAAATTAATTGCATTCAACAGCGTATACATTTTCTAAACTAAATGTTCTAAGACATTTTCTACTGCTTTGGTAATAAAAATTATTTGTTGAACGAAAAAATTAGAAATCAAAACAATTGTTGCAAC